AATGCATTCCTCCACTTCAACCGAACTTGAATTATACTAATAGCATCCCTATATATATTACCATCCACTTTGAACAATAGACCCAAGATATCTAAAACACTCACTCTTTTTAATGATTTGATCACCCATTGCTACAACTAGTTAGGAGTTTGACCCAATGGGCTATATAGAAGATCAATGAAAAAAATGTCACAATTTGAGGCACCGCCAAGGAGAATCTGTACAGAAGTACACGGCATAGTTTTGCTGTCAGATAATAACCTAAGCAATCTCTTGGTTAAACCTTAATGTCTTACACTTCAGGACTTTATTTATAAATTGCAAATGAATTATACTTGTTCTTAATCATCAATTTCCATCAGATTAAGCCAGAAAGTAAGGCTATAGAGCATGGATAACAAATAAAGAATGGTATGTCCATAAAGCACAAGAATCAAGGTAGAAAGGTAGAAGGCCCAAGAACCTTCCAAAGAAGGGTCTTTCTTCTCCAAAATAAAGAATAAAATATATATCAATGTCTCTAGAAAATTTTGTGATCATTTGGACCCACCAAGCATAAATGGTTGAAGCTGCACTTTGAACTCTTCTTTGAAAAATAGAAGATTGGAAAGAAAAAATAACTGTTGTCATAGTGGAAAACAACATATTTAGTTTAATGGACAAGACATACCTTCTCCATCTCCAATGGCAATGTCAAAAATGTAGTGCTTGGTTCATCTTCTAATATGGAAACAAATGGCGGGTATAAGTCAAGTAAGAAATAACTGATGCTATTATTAGTGTCAATTGCCAGAAGAACCTCATGCCTATGATATAGTCCAAATATTAGGTTTGATGACCCTATCCTGGTCCTTACCCTTTAGGATAGATTCAAAAATGATGAAAGATGAAAATTGATCATTAATGTTGCTTAATGTTTCTAATTACAAAGGGTTATATGGACCATATGGTATGGGAGGTGGTTCCAGCTTAATGTTTCTAATTACAAACTGCAATGATTACCTTTTCAATATCATCTTATAAAGGAAGGAAAGACCTTTCAAACAAAAAAAGATTGTGACTGTGATGTGAGAGCTTATCGCCCACAGTATTGTAACAACTACAGTAACCGCAATCCTCCTTTCCTATTTAATCCCTTTCCTTTCCTAATGCTTTTTAATTATAATTTCTTTCCTTCTCTACTTCTTTCCTATTCCTCTCCTTGCCTATTATATATCTTTCCTATCCTACTTTTACTTATTTTATTTGATAATTCCCTCTTTATATAGGTGTTGTTTTCTGAGTTTAGGTAGAGGTCTTAGGATTGTAGATTTCTGAGTGATGCCTTAGAGGTGTTCTTCTCCTCCCGAGGTGCTCTGACTGTAACTCGTCCGAGATGGTGACCGTCTCTAATGGTCTGGGTGGTACTCTGGCTGTAGCTCAACCCCAACGAGACATTTATCTTGTCGCAACCCCCCTCTCCCACGGAGTCCAGCAGTCGCAAGCTTGCAGCCCTCCCTCCGGCTCACCTTCAACAGACCTCCTACCCGCTACCTTTGTTGTTAGCCTCCTTCTAGCACCACCGTAGTCACCTTCCTCCCTTGCTGGACCTACTGCTCGCCCCAAAGGGAGTCGTCTCTGTGTGTTACGTTGTTTTCTTTCTTATTTCGGAGCGTCGTTATTGTCTTTCAATCATTTGGGTGCTATGGAAATTTATTTTTTCGGTTTTTAATGAGTCTTATTGTACCATTTGCAATTTAGTAATAATATTTTTTTTTTCGTTGTGGTTTGGGTTAACTTCGATATAATTTGGTATTAGAACTAGCCAAACTTTAGTAATATCCTAAAATTTTCTAGTATCCGCCGCCACCCAAGCCTCCTACCAAATTTTTTCTACCCTAAAGACTTCGACGGATGAAGTCAAAGCTCCCCAACTCCTGGAGATTGATGCAGGAGCTTGCCGCCTGCGGTACTGCAATAGCTACAGTACCACAGATGCATTACTGTAGCTGCTACACCTCGATTTTCGCACTCAGCCGGATCAGCGTTCTTCCTCTTTGGGGGCTGTATCCGATGGCGAGAAATTGCTCCAACTGTAACTCATCTGAGGTGGTTACCGTCTCAAAGAGTCTGGGCGGTACTCCGGCTGTAGCTTGACCCTGACGAGACATTTATCTTCCACAACCCTCTCTCCCACGCAGAGCAACAGTCACCAGCTTGCTGCCCTCCCTCTGGCTCACCTTCAACAGGCCTCATACTCGTTGCCTTCGTTGTCAGCCTCCTTTTAGTATCGCCTCAGTTAGGGCTGTCAAAAAAGCTCGTTGTTCGCGAACAGTTCGTGTTCGGCTTATTGGGGAGTTCGATTCGATTCGTTCGATAAGAAAATGAGACGAATACGAACAATTTTTTTTTTATTTGGTGTATAAATGAATCAAACACGAACAATCATTTGTTCGAATCGTTATTGTTCAAAATATAATAACTTAAAATAATTATTTATAAAAATTTTATCATATTAAAAAAATTAAATCATTTAAATTATAATCTGATTTTCAAGTTCGCCTCTTAGCTTATATTAAATTCTATAATTTCGTATTTATGTTCAGGTTTGTCTCTTAGCTTAAATTTTCTTATATCTCTTTTAAATTTATTTAGTTTCTTTAAGTGAAACATAGTTTTTGGGAGTGAAATCTCGTATATTGCCTCTCAATCTGAATTTTTTATGGATGAAATATGATATTATGGTTGTATTGTGAGCTGCGCTTCAGGTATTTTGCATTTGTGCTGTAATTGATACAAGTTTAAGCATTAATTTCATATATGTTTAAGTTTTTGAAAGATTTCAAACAATTCGAACAATACAAACAAATTTGTAGGATTTTGAACAATTCAAGCAATTCGAATAATTCAAACATTTCAAATATTTCAAACATTTCAAACATTTCAAACAATTCAAACATATGACAAACAAATCAAACCGAACACAAACAGTAACTTCACGAACAATTTCAAACCAAACACACATAATTTCAAACGAACCGAACACGAACACGAGTTCTGTAACAAGGTCTGTTCGTTAGTGTTCGGTTCGTTCACGCCATTTGTCGCCCGTTCTTCTGGTTTTGCCCAAATGTCTCTCTCTACCCAAAGCTCTAGCTAGGACTGTCAAAAAAGCTCGTTGTTCGCGAACAGTTCATGTTCAGTTCGTCAATGAGTTTGTGTTCGATTTGTTCGATAAGTAGACGAGATGAACGTGAACAAATTTTTTTTCGTTCGGTTAGTTAAACGAACCAAACACGAACAGTGATGTGTTCGTTCGTGTT